TCGAGCCGACGCACGCGCACAGCAGCCACACAATCGCAACTCGATTACCGTCATTATTCATTGCCACTGAGAGGCAATCAACGACCTTGAACTGCATCGAGACCTTGAACTGCATCGATATAGGCGAGGTCCAATCGCCTCCCGCAGCCGCCAGCGTCGCGAGGTCCAATCGCCTCCCGCAGCCGCCAGCGTCGCGCGCCTCCTCGAGGTGCACAAAAAGTTCCAAAAATGTCGAAGCGCCGCAATGCGAACGGCCAGATGCGGCGCGAGGACTACGAGGCGCAGGAGCGGGCCGACGACGACCCGCGCGCGCACGAAGTCGTTGACGCCGCAGCAGGCGAAGTCGTCGCCCTTGAAGACCGCCTTCTCGACGACGCGGGGCGTCCGCTTGAGGAACGGCGGGAACGCCGTGTCGCCGCGCACCTCGAAGGGCAGCGCCGCGACGACGGCCTTGAGCGCCGCCTCGAAGCGCGGCTTCGCGCGCGCGGCGTCCCGGTAGAGCTCGTCGAGGCGCGCGCCGCCGCCGCGCTGGGGCCGCGCGGCCGCGCCGGGGCACTCGAGCGCGGCCACGGACGCGCGGAACGCGGCGAGGCCCGCCGCGTCGTTGTTCGCGATGAAGTCGAAGACGGAGTTGTACACTTTCTCGAAGTCCTCGTTGCCCGCGCGGACGACGTCGCGGAGCCGCCGCGCGACGCCCTTCTCGCGCGCGCGCGACGCGATGACCGGTCGGAGGCGCGCGGCGAGCTCGTCGCTCAGCCGCGCGAGCGCCGCCGCGTCCGCGGACGGGTCCGCGAGCGCCGCGCGCTCGGCCGCCTCGAGCTCGGGCCCGTCGGCGATCGCCGCGACGTCGTCGACCATCGCGAGCGGCGTGAAGTCGCGCAGCACGGCCGGCAGGCCCGTCATGTCGCTGCCGTCGCCCTTGAGCGCGGCGAGCTCCTCGCGCAGCCCAGCGATCTCCGCGTCCTTGCGCGCGACGACCTCGTCCTTGGCGAGCGTCAGCAGCTGGGGCAGCGTGCGCTTCTCGCGCGTGTCGAGCTTCGTGCCGCCGAGCACAGCGTGCCACTCCGCTTCCGTCCGCGTCTCCGAGCTTTGGAGCAGGGACCCCGCCGAGCCCATACTTCATGCGTTTCACCTCAATTGCATCAAGCCGGGCTTTGCTCCGCCAGTGGCGCCGGCGGCGCCCCTGCGTGCGCGGCGGGGTGGTCGATTAAATTGCAGGAAAACGGCGTTCCCCGGCCGTCACACCCACGTCGCGCCCAAAACCAAGGGGCGTATCCAACGCCATCGATGGTGACGCGCTTCGCTGGCACGGACTTGTACGCCGCGGCAGCCCCGCGGAGACGAGGCCCGCGCGGTGGAGTAACCCGGAGTACAGTATCCCCCATAGAAATCCGGACTATACTTTTAGGAGTACAGGGGAGTAGGGAGTACAGAACGAAGAGTACGATAAGATAGTTGAGAAGTAGGGAGGCGTCGGGGCAGATCCTGGCAGAACAGGATCGCAGAATCGGAGCACGTCCCAGATGCGCCATCATCGCGGAGACGACAGCAAATTTCGTTTGAGAGTATCGAATTCGCTCTGGGTAATAGCCCGGGCCGTCAGGAGATCATTCAGTTCCGAAATCTTTGCGATCAAGTTCCCAGTATTGCCCCTCGGAGTCGCAGGAGGTGCATGGTGCATCTGAGGCATGGATTGATGGGGCATGGAATGCATGGGATGATGGTACATGGGCATTGGAGTCAAAGGCGCATGCATTGGAGCTCCAGTGAAGAATTGATTGGAATTTGAGATGATGCTCGGATTAGCGTACGGAGGCATATA